TTTGACCCGAGTTCCATTATTCACGGATGAATATAGAAAAGTTTACATGAAAAAAAAGGTTAACCCTAGAAGCTCTGCAAAATGGTATATGCCAAAAACTTTTCTTAAATCTTTGTGTTTTTTGTGATTGACTACCTATGAAAGTATCCTTATTACATTTTCCATCATTCGAGTTGATCGAGATTCTCTTTTGTTTATTTTTCTTTAATAAATTTTCTTGAATAAAAAGATTAATAAATCAGATATGAAATAAAATGAATTATTTATTCTCTTGAGCATATTTTTCCATTGCTTGACGAATTTCTGTTGCGCAATGAGCATCTTCTTCGCCGTTTTGACGTAGTTCGGCTCGAATTCTTTGCATGATAAGGTCATTCCAATGATTCCAAAAAGGTGTTGATTCTGTAAAATGAATTGATCCTGCACCAGATTCTAATAGAGGCTTTCTTAAATCTTCATTTTGTTGAAATTTTGCCAAATTTCCTTTATACATTTCATCGACTTTAATCGATTTCCAATCTGATCGTAGTTGAATCATTTGTCCAGCTAATTGACATAAATCACCTGGTCCTGAATTCAAAATTTTCTCTCGATCTTGTTCGTTTGTTGTTTTAGCACATTGAAAATAATTTTCGACTGATGAATATGTTATTCCATTAATAACAAATTTACATGGAAGATAATTGTCTGTTTCAGGATGTTCTTTGCCATCAATTACACCGGGACCACCCATTTAAAGCCTAGAAAACCTTTCTACAAAAAAAACTAATAAACAGATTGATATTTTCCCGTCATATTGTTCTATTATGTACCCTTGGAAAAAAATAGTTTTAATCGATTTTTAAATCTATTGTCACCATAAAAACACAGTTAAAAAAATTATTGTATATTCTGAAAGCACTCGAATTTTTCTATCATCCTAAATATCTATGTTTAAAATTACGTCTACTGGTGTGAAAATAAATCAACTGCAATGAAGACACCTCATATTGTCAGATTTCCACGAATTAAATATTGTCGTTGTCTATTCAATTGACTTTTTAGATTTTTTATTAATATAAAAATAGTTCTGTACCAAAAAAAAAAGCGTTATCATATATTTCGATAGAGCTCGAAATTCTCTAGTATCTTATATATTTATTTGTTGTCTTGCTTTTGTTTGTCGGCAAGAAAATTTGAACACATTGGATTTACTCTCACTTCACAAATACCAAAAATCTTCAGTTTTTCACTTTTCTAAAAATTTTTAATTTTTTTACTCTTATAAGAATTAATTCTTACTCAAATTAGCATAAACTATTATAGAGTTTGAAATCATCTATCATTCTGTATAGTTTTTCTATACGCTATATTTATGCTCTGATGAATACTATCGTTATTATCTAGGCATATTCATTGACAAATTCTAAAAACCTAGATGTTTCAACTATCTCTGTTTGTTTCATTTTTATTTCGAAAGTTTAGCATGATAGAGAATTCTAAATTGTGCCAGCATATATGACTATACTTTTTAAAATCTATTCCATAAAAATACTAAACTTCAAATAAACAGGAAAGTGTTAACAGAAAAAAAAATAATTTTGAAAGATTTCTCAATAAGTGCAAGCAGCTTACGCTCATGTTATTCTTCAGAACTTAAATGCAAAACAAGAGAAAATTATATAGAATGATAGAAAATTGCGAGCACTATCATGATATATAAATATATTGATAAAAATTATTTCTGTAGTAACTATAACTTGAAAAAGTACAAAATAATATAGATTATGGTTCTTACTAATTGAAGTTTTCTTTGCGGTAATCGAATTATTACTTACATAATAAAATATAAAAAATAGATAAATATATAGGAGACTAAAGAGAACTGTTTCTATAATAATGATAAATTTAAGTAGTCAACAGAGGAGGCAATGAAAAAATTCTATTCATGCAAATCCGATGTTGAGAGATGTCTTCATTGTAGTTAATTTATTTTTCAGCCAGTAGACACATTTTAAAACATAAATGTACTAGATGATAGAAAACATCGAGCGCGTTCAGAATATATAATAATTTTTATAATGATAACCGATTTAAAAATTGACTAAAACTATTTTTCTAGAAGTGTATATTCACAGAACGATGCAAACGAAAGTTGTCAAGCAACTCTGATCAGCCCTTCGACTTACATGCAACTAGAAATGCATCAATGATGATAATCGGTCTACTAGTAACCGGTAATAACTTCTGACGATACAATGGTAATGATATACCGGTAAATAATCGTCATCATTACATCCCTACGTGTAACTATGGACCCTAATTGAAAGTGAAGTGATGTGGATGGATGTGTGAGGATGTTCTCTTCATCCATCCATCGGTCCTCCAACCTTGTAGTTTTTTAGATATTGAAATAAAATAAAATTTCTCGAGACAAAATTTCATACCTCTCCACGATATGCACCGCCTGTTAATGACTATGCATATACACAGCATACACTACCTGCCTCTTATGGGAAAGATAGAAAAGGAAAAAAATTTGGTTGGTTCAAATAGGCAACTATTGGACAGAGAAAAAAGAGCTATATGGCATAATTCGACGAAAGACAACGTGTTTATTTGACAAGAAGAAAGACTGAGGAAAGCATTAAGATCAGAGCTCTGAATAGTTTTCAGAAATGGAGATGACTAAACATTTAACAGTCAGTCAGAGGTTATCTGTCTGACAGAGAGTGGCTAAGAAAAGCTGTTTTGTAAAGTTTAGTAGACACGACATAAAAAGTAGAGGATGGAGGGGAGAGGCTAGCCTACTTTAGCTCTTCTCGCACCGGAACCGATAATCAAGACTTAGCACAATAAATAAAGCAGAACATTGAAGACAAGAAAAAACAATTAGAAATCGTCAACAAAAGTAAGTGGTGCATAGACTACTGTGATGTTTCATATGTCTTGCTATCTGGAGATGTGCTCTTCCATAAGGCAACGTATCTATTTCATTTATTAACTCATTTAGTACTTAAAGGATCGTTTCCTAATCAACTGTGTTAAATTAAGCTCAGAAAAATTTTAAAAAAAATGTAAGTAAATGTTTTTTCTTTCGTTTAATCACGCCATTTAACTTTCTCCTTTTACAATGTGTACCTAATTGACCAAACTATTTTTTACCTTGTCAACCATTGTGACCATACGCAGCCTATCTTATATATATATATATTCATTAACAAGATATACATACTATAAAGGAGTACCCGATATTTAATACCAACTAAAGTTAATTCGTGAGATACGATTGTAATTGCACGATGTACAATCAAGACAATTTCATCGATTGCGAGCAGAAAGAAAAAAAAGCTAGAATTTATGCAATGCAGATATTTACCATATGCTTATTTTAATCGAAACAAACTGTTGACACAACAAAGTTTGTCTTTCTACTTTACCGTGAATTTGAAGAACGAAACAGCAACACATAAAAGCAAAACATTAGTGGCATGAATTATTTTCAGTAATTACATTGTACATTCGATAATGCATTTGAATGCTGATCTACAAATGCTTCGCAAATAAGGGCAACCATAGTGTGATGGCAAGTATGAGCATGCTCGATGATAATAATTTCGAGACACTCTCTGTAATTCAACTCGATTTCAGCACTCACAATAGTGAGAGTAATCGAGTTGTAAAACAACTACTACATAACACTATGAATCATTTTTAAAAGATTTTCGAGAATGCAAATCGTTATGAAACATAAATTTCAAAGTTGAATAAAAACAATCGAATCGTTCTTATTATTTGCAATAAATTAGCGTAACAAGTCGTATGACGTGTGGGTAGGCATGACACAGATGTGACTATCTCCTCTTCACTCACAGCCAAATAGTCGGAATCTGACATATCCTCGAAGAAGGGAACTGAATAGCTCTTTCTACTTGTGTTTGCTTGTTTCTGCTGACTGTCATTGCACATGAGCATAGGATGATTAATTTTCTCTTGATCTAGCCTGCTACGTCTTACAATCAGCAATAAAACAACAACAAAATACCATCTTCAATGGACGATGCTCATTAGAACTTGCCTTTCAAAATTTTTCGTAGAATTTTTAATAACTGCTGCCATTGATTTTGTCATTGTCAAGGAAAATGTTAGTGTTACCTTTATAAGTGCTTCTCCTTTCTATGTTCGAATTTATTGATCCTAGATAAATATTCTTTTTGTTGCTATATGCAGATGTATACGAAAGAAGCATTAGAATTTCCGAAATGCTGATCAATACATCATTGAAAAAAAAAATTCAAAATTTCACGAACGTAGAAAAAAATGGTTCTGACAGCAACACAAGTGAGTGGTTTTTATTACCTTTCTTATCCATGCTATGTGGCACATTAAAGTGAAACAAGAAAATAGGCAACAACATTCATCTACGACTTCATTCTTCTTGTGCAATAATAGTGGATATTTATATGACACATGGCTTGATGAATAATTATTTTATTTTATTTTTCCCCAGCTTCAGTAGTTCATGAAATACAGCTGGTTTTCATACTCATATGCAATAACTGTAGACGGTAGAACTCTTCCAACTTTTGTCATGTAAATACTATGCCTTTTTTAACATTGTAAGAAATTTTTCTTCACAGCACACAATGAGCCAGTAGTGTCAAACTTGAAACTTGAATTCAATTGAAATTTCAACTTTCAAGTCGTTTCGTGACCGGTTCTTTTCTGGGCAGGCCTCTCGCGGCACCCTCACCAGCTGCGATGTGGTGTGTGTCGTTTCGTGGCCAATCCTTTTCTGGCCAGTTCTTTCGCCGCACCCTCACCAGCTGCGATGATGTGTGTGAGAATGCGGGTTAGTGGTGATTCTTCACAGTGCTGCCCATTTGAGGCTTGAAACTTGAAACTTCAATTGAATTCAAGTTTCAAGTTCGACATATATGAAATGAGCGTGACTTTCAAGCCACAAAATACGAAGGTTACTGCAACAAAGCGAATAATAAGGTATAGAAATATATTAATGGATGTGTTTATTATTTGAATTTGCATTTGTTGAATATATTTTTAGAGATTTCAGAGATCTCGACAAACTTCCAGTATCCGGACTTGGTGTTACCTGTCCTGATGAATCGAAGCAATTTGTTTTACATTGTAATGTATGTATTCGAGTAAATCTTTGATTTACATATAAGAATAATTGATTTATTATTCAGATATTGATCAATGATGGACCATATCAAGGCATTATGATTCATTTAATTCTTAATATTCCAGAAGATTATCCATTGACAGGTCCGACTGGAAATATAGCACCAGGCTTAGAATTCAATTCTAGATATCATGCTCATATTCATGAAGACCACAGGTATGTTCATATTTAATCTTATGATTGATACTCGACTTTCTCACTTGATTTGTCACTTTTAGAAATTGACATGTTTTGTGCAATGATTTACTAACGAACTATGCATCTTATTGTCGTGCCATAGATTGAGGTACTATCCAACAAGCCAGTGGTTGGAAGTAAATAAATGATTTGTAGACATTGTCTAATTTCTCCATTCATTTTCTCTTGTACTTCTAGTCCTGGCTATACTTTATCAACTGCACTTCTTCAGATTGTCACATTTTTTGCAGATCCTGATTTTAGAGTTAATCCATCTTCAAAGAGCATTGCTCATCCCCGCAATATGATCAAAAAATTCACATGTACAACGTGCGGGCATTCTTATGCTAATCAAAATCCGGCTATAGCCGGTTATAGTGAAAAAAAAGTCCGATAAACAACAAACAAAAGAAGAAAACCATGTCGAAGGGAGAAGAAGAAAAAATGAAATCTGAACGTGAACGTTTACTATTACAGCGTGAATTAATGGAAAAATTAACGTGTGGTGTAACAAAACAAAATGTCATGGAAGATAAAATTTGTCTTGATTATCCATTATTAATTACACGTGATAATCGCGGTCGATTATGGCTAGAAATTGTTTTGGAACTCATTTCTTATCATGCATACGTTGCAGAAATACAGAAATCCGGGGAAAACAAATTAGATTTTTATGAACATTTGAAATTTCGTTCTGTCACAGGAGCAGATTACAATCATTGGTTACCGTTGTATATTAATGCTAATCATTTTAAGCAAGGACAAACAATCATTCAAAATAGTATTAGTGTTATTCATAATGATACTGCTCAGGGTTTTGCAAGACATGATTTCAAGTCAGATATGGCATTGAATGTCTTAACTACTTTAATGAATTAATTAGCTGTTTGATTATTTAATGGATAAATGTATGAATCAAAACAAGCGATAGAAGCTTATTGTCATTTTTTACGTTTATTAATGCATTTTATTTGATATTTATCCGGAATTAGGTAGAATAAAAATATCTATAAATTTTGTTAAAGATATATTTTTTTGCATATTTGATTTTGATCATTTTTACAGAATAGAATTAATAAAACTGTAGAAAGATTTGTGTCAGCATTAGATAGTCGTAATAAAAAGTTAATACTCGATATTGATGAATTTTTGATACAAATTGCATTATCAACAAAATATAAATTTAATGATATTAAAACATATGTCTACGAGGAATATTTTGCTCGACAAATCTTTTGGATTCAAAAAAAATAGTACAATTCGAAGGTTGTTAAATATAACAGCACAAGATTTGCCTGAGATATTCCAAGCAACAAAAGTATCAAATCGTCTGTTGATATTCAATCTGGAAATGGCTGAAACATTCATTTTTCCGGGTGTAAAAGAGTAAGTATCTGCTTTTTATTCGATGATTTGCAGATGAACACTTTACACACTCTGAACTATGCTGTGCTATACGTTCTTTTCTTTCGTAGAAATTTGGACAGATTATATGGATATCCACCTACAATTGTTGTAGAAAAATTTCAACAATGCTTAAAAGCTATTAAAGCAATAGATCGATATAATGTGTTTATTCAAGATATACGACTAAGCCATACGATCAAATTACCAAATGATATGATTAATTTGATAAAATGTTCCATAAATGTATCAAATCAACAAGTTTATACCAATATATTATAGATTGATCAAATAACAAGATCATAGATAAAATGAACGAAAATTATATAATCAATATTAACAAAGATATTTTCAAGGCAGAAAAGAAATAACAATGATGTTTTTTTCTTTTTTCGTAAATGAAATTTAAAATCGATCTTTTATTTTGTTTTGAATTTTGATATGATATTTGATTGTTGATCATTCGGAAAATAGTCACGTACCATCTTAATAAAGGAAAGAGAGAATATCAATAGATAATCTTGTAATTCGAATTAGTTTCAATCACTTTGTTCATTTCAATATAATATCTTTATCAAATCTATTTTATTAAATACGGTTACATACTAACAAATCACTGATACAAAAAGAATTATGTTCATATTTTCAAAACAATAGCTTTACAAACTTCAAGAAGTTTCCAACACACAGCCAAAGAACCTATTAAAGAAAATGATACTGACATTTTTTCCATTACTTAACGAAATCTATCATAAAACGAAAGTATATTGTCCACAAATTACGAAATTTTCTAAAGTATTAATAAGACATTTCTGGTGAAGTATGAAATTACTCAACTACTACGACACTATTACAAAATACTTCCGTATGAGAGAGAGAGAGAGCACTCTACTCTCCAAAATATTAGTAATATTAGGAATTACTTGGGAATTTCGTGTGTAGATCATTATCAATAAAAATATTCATTGATTGTACTATTATTCGTTCTTCCTTATTCATATTTACGTTATTTGTATGAATTATAATTATTGAGTTATCAAAAAAAAAAATGACTTCGCTCTTGAAATTTTAGGTAAAGACATAAATCTTCATTTCGATTACTTAATATTTCTATCAAATACTCATTTGAAATATATTCAAATTTTTTTTCATGTATTCTTTGAATATAATGTGTATAGTCTTGAAACAATGAAATATGATCCTTGTACGAGTTGTGATTACTTCAATGAGATTTATTATGAAAAGTACAGGATGAAGTACTTCTTTCTGATCTAGCCAAAAATGTACTTGATTTTATTTCTAATAGATTATTATCAAGATATTTCTGTCAACACTTTACTTTAATAATAATGTTGTTTAATTGAAAAGTCAATCTGATTCATCGAGTTCTTCTAAAAGTCGTTCAATATTCCGTTCCATCATCCATATGTCATTATACGAGGGAGGCAGACGTTTCCTGTAGATAGCCAATGCTTGTTGATAGCAATTAAGTGCCAACATAGGCTTATGAAGGTTTTCATAAGTCTTACCAATGTCCGACAGACTATGGCCAATTTCTTCATGATCTGGTGGTAGAACATTGAGACTCATAAAGAAACGATTCTGTTCATATATAAGAGAGAGCTCATACTGGCCTTTCGTTCTGTGTACCTGTGAGAAACATGTAAGTAAATTAGCAATGAAGAGATCTTTTAGAGGTAGACTGGCTTCTTTAATTAATAAACATCTTTCCAAACATTCAATAGCGAGATCGAACTGGGATTTTTTATTGAAGTTAGCAGCGATCCAATATAAACAATCAGCAATTTCAATATTATCATTGGGGTAATATTCTTCGAATATGACCAATGCTTGTTGACAAAAATCAAGAGATTCATCATATTTTGTTTGCTGAAACAGAGTATTACCGATGTTCTTGAGACTTCTAGCAATTTCAAATTGATCACAAGGTGAGTTACTTTTGAGAAGTGCCAATGATTGTTGTTGAAAGTCGAACGCCTCATAATATTTTCTTTGGTTTCTTAAAATTTGAGCTATGTTGTTCAGACAACTAATGGTATTCCGATGATTGGATAAATGCGACTGGTAAAATGCCAGTGCTCGATTATAAAAATCGAGAGCTTCATCATATTTTTCTTGATTACTCAATATATAACCAATATAACCCAAACAAGTAGCAAGACTCTCATTGCCGGATGGATAATATTGCTCATAGATTTGCATTGCTCGTTGATGATAATCGAGGGCTTCTTCATACTTTCCTTGCATATTTAGAATCACACCAATATATCTCAAACTCTGTGCAATATCAACATGACCATATGGATAGCACTTTTCGAGGATTGCGAGAGCTCGTTGATGACAGTCGAGTGCTAGATTGTATTCTTTTTGATCAAACCGAATCTCACCGATGCGATTCAAACTATCCGCAATATTCTCATGACAAGGAGAATACTTTTCTTCTCGGATTGTTAATGCTCTTTGTTGAAATTTGATAGCTTCTTCGTATTTTTCTTGTATGCTCAGGACATCAGCAATATTGATGAGACCATTAGCAATATCGACAGGATTTAATGGACAACAGTTTTCGTAGATTTCTAGCGCTTGTTGAAAGAAGTTAAGAGCTTCATTACATTTTCTTTGTTTACTCAGAAGAGCAGCAATGTTGCTCAAACTATAAGCAATGTTCACGTGGTCAGACGGAAAATATTGTTTTCGTATTATCAATGCTCGTTGTTGGAAGTCGATAGCTTCATCGTTCTTTCCCTGATCTCTTAAAACATTGGCGATGTCTATCAGGATATTAGCAAGGCCAACATGATTAGTCGCATCAAAGTTTTCTCGTATTGTTAGTGCTCGTTGATGAAAGTCAAGAGCTTCATCATATTTTCTTTGCAAATTCAGAGCTTTACCAATATTGGAAAGAACGGTAGTGATGCCATTATAACCAAATGGATGGAATTTCTCTCGAATAGCTAATGATTTTTGAAAGAAATCAATAGCTTCGCCATATTTCTTTTGGCTATGTAGAACAACACCAATAAAATTCAAGTTTTTCACGATGTTGATATGATGAAATTGATAATGTTTTTCTTGAATAGCCATGGCTTTTCGATAAAGCTGAAGAGCTTCATCGTACTTTTCTTGTTCATACAGAGTATGACCAATAAAGGTGAGAGTATGAGATGTTTCGATGTGACTATCAGGACATAAGCTGTCTTGCATTGAAAGTGCCCGTTGATAATAGTCCATTGCTGCATCATACTTTTTTTCATGGTATAGAACATGACCGATACGATTGATGGTATCAGCTTTGATGATACTGTCTGTTAGATAATATTTCTCTTGAATTTCTAATGCTTTTTGATGATATTCAATCGCTTGATCGAATTTATTTTGTTGACGAAATATTGTGCCAATATTAATGAGAGTTGTCGCAATGCTCACATGACCGTTTGGATAATATTTCTCTTGCATTTCGAGTGCACGTTGATAATATTTCAATGTTTCATCGTATTTGTTTTGTTCAGCGAGTGTATTACCGATGTAATTGAGAGTGTTGGTAATATCATGTTGACGTGATGGACAATATTTTTCTAGCATTTCGAGTGCTCGTCGATGATAATCAAGAGCTTCAACATACTTTTCTTGCCTGCATAATATTAATCCAATATTATTTGTATAAGTAGCAATGGAAGAATGATCAAATGGACTGTGTTTTTCGACAGTTGATAGTGCTCGCCGAATACAATCAACAGCTTCAGTGAACTTTCCTTGTTCACCTAAGACGATGCCCATGTTGTTGAGACTCAAGGCCATGGAAGCATCACTTGAACGATAATAGCTCTCTTGTATTGTTAGTACTCGTTGACAATAGCATAGAGCTTCATCATATTTTGATTGACAAAACAGTACACCAACGATATAATTGAGAGTATCAGCAATATCAGCATAATAAGATGGATAATATTTCTCTTGCATTGCCAATGCTCGTCGATGTAAATCAAGAGCTTCATTATACTTTCCTTGTTCCTTTTGAATGTAGCCAATGTTGTTTAGAATGTCAATAATATTGTCGTGACCGAAAAAATAATATTTCTGAAGAATTTCCAGAGCTTGTTTAGACAATGATAGAGCTTCATCATATTTTCCTTGTCCATAGTGAACAGTTCCTACTCCATTGAGACTAAAGGCAATACTGACATGACCACTTGGATAATACTTTTTTTGCATTACCAGTGCGCGTTCATACATGTCCAGAGCTTCATTATACTGACCTTTCGCAAAGAGAATGTAACCGATCCCGTTGAGGCTGGAGGTGACGCATACATGATCATTAGGATAATATTTTGTGTAGATTGACATCGCTTGTTGATAGAAATCGAAGGCTTGATTGTAGTTATTTTGTTTAACAAGAGCCTCGGCAATGTACTCAAGACAAACAGCAATATCGATATGAGGAAACTGATAGTATTCTTTAAACACTGCCAGTGCTTGTTGATGAAAGATAAGTGCTTCGTCATACTTGGCTTGCCGACAGAGAACTTTGCCGAAGCTACAGAGACTAGTAGCAATAGATACATAACCATCTAGGCGAGTCTTGCCAAACTGTAACCAACCAGTTTTCTGTAAGTTTCGACAAATTTCTTGTAACTGAGTTTGGCTCGACTGTACATCAACAGGCTTCATTCTATTTATCACATTTTTCGAACGGAACCAACAAGAAATTCTTCGGAAATATGTAGTCCAAAACCATTGGAAATACGATGGAAAGAATCCGCCTAAATTCAATAAAATCGACCAGAATGATGCACGAATACGATTTAGCAAACTACTGTGTTGCTTACTTGATGTACAAGACCTATCAACTTTGGTAGAGCAATAATTTTCCTTTCGCTTTGCAAATGCTTGTTCATAATAACCAAGCGCTTCTTCATATTTTCCTTCTAGATAAAGAATCTCACCAATATTGAAAAGAATATCAGCTATATCTTTAATTCGTATTGGTTTCACATTCGTCAGCCGTTCATAAGCACGATTATAATTTTTTCGTGCTTCATTCCATTCTCCTTTCCATTGAAGAACTTCACCAAGACTATATTCAATCTTTGCGAGATCTTCATTGTAGCTAATCGAGTTGTTCAATAAATGTTGAAAGAAGTGTTGTGATTGATCCCATTGTCCCATATCACACATCAATCGCCCAAAGAGAATTCTAATGCTTAGATCTTCCATTTGACGATGTGAGTCTTTGATATATTTTTCTTTGATAATTTGACCTTCATTCGATGTAATCATTTCAATCAAGTACATGTCTTCCTCCATTCTCACACTCTTCAATTGAAAAGTGACATTTGAATCGAACAAAATTTCTTGTTGTTCTTCACATCGAAATTCATTGAAATACATGCTGTCAGCGACAATAACATTGTTCTTCAGATATTGACGATCGAATTGAATTTCTAGAAGAACAGAAATGAGATCAGTTTGTTTCGAACTTTTCATTGCTTGGTTCAATGCAGTGGAACGAAGAATATTTGTTGTGAAAAATCCATTGATTGAAACCAGTTTACCTTCGTTCTCTTTGAATTTTTCAATTTGATCACATGTTAATTTCATTCCTCGATAGATGAATAATATTTCTTTATCAGATTGAATCAATTTTTGATGTTCTCGTACAAAACATTCTGTTAGATCTTGCATAAAATATCGAAATGTATATAGCTGATCGAAGTCTTTGATTCTTAATGCTTTTTTGATCATTTTGTAAAGAAATAACTTTTTCGAATACCATTGAATAGCTTCATGTGATTGATATTCATTTTCAAACTTCTGAATCGCTTCCATTTGTTTGATATTACCTCGATAATAGGAACGACATACATCGATCATTTCGTGTTTAGCTTCTTCATTATGTGTTAACTGAAAGAGAACATCATGATAAAGCTGAAACCACAGTAGATCAGTAGTTTGTTTTGATAAATCTTTTGTTAAATATTCATCTTGATCGAAGAAGCTGAATGTGTCGAAATGTCGATCGAAGAATTCGACTTGTTCTTGGATTGATAAACACAATAAATCGAATTTATCATATACACCAATAAGTTTTGAATATTTAAGGACTAAATGTTCATGATCGATTTTTTCCCAGTTGAAGACAAAGATGCTGTCAATTTGAGATAACATTGCGATATGAGGTAATATTTGTGATACATCATAAATTGAAGCGACGAAGAAGATTTTTTCATTAGAAATCGATTGAATGAAAGTAATGCAAGATTCGAGTTGAGTGTGAAATATAACATAATCATTGATTTGACGTAGTTCTGTTATTGTTTGTTCTACATGATTATTGAAATCGATCTTTGAGTCAAACCAAATCAAAGTGATATCTTCTTTGTTGATAGTTCTATTCATTGTTTTTGATGAATTTTCCAAGTTAATGGAACGTGTTGCTACGGGTGGTAAAAACATTAAGCTGATTGTTCAATTGAAATGTTTAAAAAAGACACTTGAATAAGAAAACAATTGATTTTAAATCTTGAAATAATCAAAAATAAAAGCTGTAAATGTTCACAACACAAAAATGAGAGAGCATCCAGACCATACACCGTGTCACCAGCAACAGTGAATTTCATGGATTTTCGAGGGATTTTTGACTCGAAATATTTGGTCATATGGCTGACTAAGTAGTTCTGTTTAGAGAAAAATTGGCAGAAGAAAGGAACCTGTTAGAGGAATAATCAATGGGGTTTGATTGCAAGGAACCAATTGTTCCTGAACTTTCAAAAAAAGACCTGAATGATTGTTCATTTTGCGATACATGTGCCAAAGACAAGAAAATAGTTTCAGTCATTCTCTTAAATAGTTCACCATCATGATAAAGTCACATATTAGAAAAGTGTCTACATGGTTTGAAAGCACTATAAAAATATCTAATCGATTTTCTAAAAATATAATTTTATAATGATGACATATTTAAGTAAATAACAGGTAATAGTTTTGTTTAAGGATATATATATATTTAACAAACAAAAATGAAAAAGGACATGTCTCGGAGTACGATAATCAGAGACTCAAGCATTTTTAACAATTATTTCTAGCATTTCTGTGACATTTAGTATTTCAATACGAATATTAGAAAAATATTTAAAAAAAGTATGAATTCTTGATCGTGTAAGAATGAATAAATAAAGCAGAAAGAAGCAATTACGGTTGTCTCTTCATATCGCTCCACTTACGTATTAAAATGGGACTAATAGAATTAGTGGTAATGTTTAAATATGTGCATTGATCGGCTAGATGATGTATATATCATTGAAAGGAAGTGACGTGTTTTTTTTCCAACTTGCAATGTGTTTATGAATACAAAGTGCATTTTCTCTCATAATGTGAATAGGTCAGGCAATAGATATGCGTTACGCTATTGATTTTGCTCTGTTCTTGTGCAATATTAATTATCTCTTTCCTACTCTTACTCATTTTCTACCTTTATGCGCATGATAATTTCCTTCAAACGCATAAAAAACATGTTTTTGTGAGCAACAAAAATTTCTTTCGAAAGTTTTAAACAAATCAAGTCCAGAAATTTCAAGTTCAAATCGCTAATCAGCTGAAAAATTAGTAGCATCATCATAAATTACTTGGAGAGATGCTGATTGTTATTCATTTTCGTCATTCATATCGTTGTTGAAGCACATGCTTATCGCATGTGCATACAATATATTTCACACCGTTTATTGCAAAAAATACTAACTATATTATAGATTTTTGACCAATACTTTGGATATGATGATATTCAAGCGCGTTAATGGAACATACCTAAGACAGAATAGAAAATTAGAAACCCTATCATTAAACAGAAATGTGATAGAAAACAGCAGCTGATTTTATTACTTCTTAATACTCATCAGTTTTTATAGAATTATAGTATTAAATTGACGAATAGATATCGCCAAAAACGACTCTACTTAAACCTGTTCTACCACTTCTCTTCATTTAAGACTCGAAAAAAATGTACTCTTTAGATGATTAATATGACGGAAACTACTATCTGTTCAAAAAAGAATCGCCGCGGGTATGCTTGGAATAACTCCAGAACGGAAGGAACTAGAGAGTTGTGATTTTCTCTATTACGCAGGGAAATGTGTACTCTATATATTCACTAAAACATGTTGAACATTCTTGCAGATTCAGAGTTTCGGCACCATCAATCTTTCGAAGAGTTGATGGCAACATTTTTAATTTCCATAGGAAGCTACATATCTAATGTAAGAAGTCTACCATTTTTTCATATATATTAGTATGAAGTATAGAAGTGCGAGCAGTTTATACTGTTTGTTTTCCAAATTTGAAATATCTTATTTTGACTTTCCTCGGTTTCACTGATGTGAATTTTTACGATTGCTAATACTGAAGAAAATGAAAGTCATAGATTTTAGAGAAATGAATGCCATTCGAGAACTTCAAAAGCTAGAGACTTGGACCTTCTATCATTTTGTAGAAGAGCCTACATGCTATCTTTTATGTAGTTTAGATATGTAGGTTCTTCTGGAGCTTAAAGAAATCGCAATCAACTCTTTGAAAGATTGGTGGTGACGAAACTCTGAATCTAAAAGGATGTTCAACATGTTTTAGTGAATATATGGAGTACTCATTTACCTATGTAATGATGAAAACCGCAACTTTCTAGCTCTTTTCGTTCTGAAGTTATTTCAAACATACTGGCGACCACTCTTTTTTTGTACAGACAGTAATTAAGAAAATTCAATTTGTACTTTAATCTTCAATTTGAACAGCTAATTTTGATAAATTAAAATCTCTTACATCATCACACAATATACAAATTTTTTTCTATAAGATGTTTATCATTATTTTCCTTCATCGTAAATTAAACTTTACGTTGAAGACTTCAATCAAAATTCTTCTATTGTAAAAGAGTATGAAATATAAATTGTCTATAATCGGATATTGTGTTCAATAAAACATATTTCCATTAGAAAATTATGCATATATGTAGTTCAATGATTATTTCAAATAGGAAGAATTTCACAAGAAGACTATTAAAACAAGTTTGTGAGAACTGTTGAAAGTGAACACTGTAGATTTATATTCAGTATGTACGATCAGCTAGAGGTGGATATTCTATTGTTCTATGCATATTATTAATAATTTAATGATATAAAAAGAAAAAAACAATTGTTTACTATTCACAATTTCCATTGTAAGAAACTAAAAGAGCAAAATAGTAGCATATGACCAATTGACATTTTCGACATTCAGTTATTTTATTATGAATAGTATTGATTTATAAAATAGATAACGCTTATAATATATTTATAGAGACAAACTTGTCTTATCCCGTATCTTACGCAACATATGCCTATCTCATCTTGCATGCATTTCTGTTGATATATAAAAACATGACATTTCATTTGAATTTAAAAAAAACAGAGATGCAATCTTCAATAAATAAAATCGAAGAAATTCTTTAAAAATCTTTATACAAACTAACGGGTATGATTGATGTTGATTTTACACGAATGTTTTATCTTATTGTTTGTTTAAATGAGTATTTAAATAATGATAAATTTGCTAAATAAATTAGAGCAGTCATCCTATTCCGCAAAGTCACACATTCCTGCATATTCTTGCATAGGTACGTGTCTTCATCTTCTACTTAACATTGCGATAGAAATAAAGATGCAATTCCCCGTTGAATTCCGGAATTGCATCTATATCGAATGACCAGGAATTCCTGCATATCCCAATGATTACGGTTGTGCACGAATTCCGAAATTCCGCTTTCCATTTCTTGAAGCTCGAGAAATGATCATTTAGCCATCCATGACATGTTTCCAATTCCGGAAAAGGCAGGAATAACCCGGAATTCCTGCATATCCCAATGATTACGGTTGTGCACAAATTCCGGAATTCCGCTTTCCATTTCTTGAAGCTGGAGAAATGATCATTTAGCCATCTATGACATGTTTGCAATTCTGGAATAGGCGGGAATGACCTGGAATAGGCACGAATGACCCGGAATAGGCAGGAACGGCCCGGAATTCCTGCATATCCCAATGATTACGGTTGTGCACAAATTCCGGAATTCCGCTTTGCATTTCTTCAAGCTCGAGAAATGGTCATTTAGCCATTCATGACATGTTTGTAATTCCGGAATAGGCAGGAATGACCCAGAATTCCTGCGTGTCGTAGTGATTCCGCATATGCAGAAGTTCCGGAATTCCGGGTTGTTGCATGTTTTTTAGGGAAAGGGTCGTTTTTGCTTTTCCGGAATTGATGGTAAGGGATTGCATGTCAGAAGGCGATGCAGGAATGTGTAACTTTTGGGAATAGGAAGTATTCTCCAACGTGATGAAATTAAACGAAAAGATTCAATACAAAATTCATCAGATAGTGAACATGAAATAGATTTTTCTTTAGATTTTACTGATCGATCAACATTTGACAAAAGGTAACCAATGGCATCTGTTATAACAACTACAATTACAAAACGAAAAAAAGGACATGGAGGTAGTTTTTTAGTATTTTTTTTTTGTTTTCTTTGTACAGTGAGAATGTTTTACTTATTTATTTATTATTATTTTGTATTTTGTTGACATCTAAATGTGGAAATCTCAGATTCATAGAACATTTTGGAAGATTTTAGAAACTTCCAGAACGATCTGTGCACTGTTATTACTTATCCACTTTTTCCCGTTGTTGTAGAAATAAACCCAATGGTCTTTAGTTTTTCTCCTCACATACCGGTTGTTAGGGTCTAGAGGAACTCCCAAAATCTCGATTTAAACTTACACTCACTACTTTCTTTGAAAATGTATGTAAGTTCCACAAAATAATTGATGCAGGAATGCCACAGCAGATTTATTTTATAATCGAAAGCTATATATTAGAAATGAGTCATTCATTAGTATTCAATGTAAAATACTTTTTAATTAATATTGATCATTGAATAACAGTAATTGATTCTATTAGTAAAAAAGGTTTAATCTAGAGCGTTCATTGTTTGGGTGTGGGCATTCTTTTCATTCACCACCTAACTTTAGACTTGAAATTGATAAGTATTATGTGGAATGGACTGGATTGAAACTGGTGCACTTCATCTTTAGTTAAGTTATTTATCGATGTCATCATCTTCTTGAAGATTAAGTTAATCACAATCATTA